TATATAATACATTAAATATACAGTACCCCACATATGAAAGTTATTACATGAAGTTCAAAAGGGGGTAATAACGATGATAAGTCAATCTCCCACAGCCTAAGAAACACTATCATTATGGAATTTCTGTAATGATTTCTATACACATACACCTCCCTTTGCACCTCCTTCTGAAAGGGGTTCAAGCCTCCTCATCCTGCGGATACGGTCAACCTGGCTATCGAGGCCTCTATCAGAACGTACAGGAAGGACATGAGGCACAGACTCAGCTGAACTGTGAGCAGCAGCACTGTATTCCTGGCCTTTGTTGTTGAAGCTCTGTCGGATGGGACTGTACAGGCTAACCTAACAGTAGTTTCCCTGTTGAAACAAACTAAGGTTTTTTAAAGACTAAAAATGTTTTTAAAAAAAATGGAAACTTCTGTTGTAGAATGGTGTCAACAGTTTAATTTGTTAAAGATTCCATATAAAATACAAGTAAGGCTGCGAGGGTTTTCAGGTAGAATTTGCTTGTGTTTTTTGTGCAGATAGCACAAAACAGGGACTGTTAGGAAACAGTAATTTTGTCTCATGTTGTAATTTAAAATTGGGTTAGGCGTTGTATCTAGGGTTGGCATGTGAGATGTTTGTAGTTCTTAATTAATGAGAACAAATTGTTCTCCAGGTTGCTCTCAGGGTTGCTCTCAAAGGGCTCTATTGGATTTGACAGCAGTTTGGAAACATTCAAAACATCATTCCTCAGGGAATGTAGATCTGGAGATTGGTTAACAATGGCTTATAAAAACTCTGTCTTCAAACAGTCTTTTAAAAATTGCCATATTGTTTTTGGGGAGGATCAGAGTGGTTATTTAATGTAATGTCATCTTACGTTATAACATGTTTCATGTTTTAAAATGGCAAGCAATAAAACAGAATGATTTGGATGAGGCACATTAACGTTCTTTAAATTTTAAATTTAGTTTTGTTACAAGTACACAGAGAATAAAAATCTCTGGTTGATTGTCTTGGTTGATATGTACAGCAGCATTAATATAATTTGAAGAAAAAAAATAAACAAAAGGGAAAATAAAAACACCTGCTTGATTTTCTTACAAACATAGTTCTTAACATTACATTTGTGATGTGTATTCTAACGTTTTCTCTTCTTCCTTCTCCAGGCTGTGAAATATGATTCAAAATACCTCACAATACAATGTAAGCTCTGAGAACTTCTTCTTCACTCCTATCGTAGGTGTTCGCCAGCTGAAGATGATAATTGTCCAGATATTGGTTGGGATTTTTCTCTGTGTGAACTGTTTCATGCTCTTCACTTTTTTCAAAAAAGAGTTCTTTTGGACAACCACGCGCTACATTCTGTTCGCACACACCTTAATGAACGACTCAGTTCTTTTGGTTTTGACAGACTTTGTCACACTACAGTTCAGTTTCAACATCCTGCTTCCTGTGGAATTTTGTATTGTACTCTGCATGATTATGGAAGTTCTCTCCCGCACAACCCGGTTTGTCATCACTGCGATGTGTCTGGAGCGCTATGTGGCCATCTGCCTGCCACTGAGACACGTGGACATTTCCACCCTGAGGAGGACACTGGCTGGAATTCTCATCGTTTGGGCTCTTAGTTCTGTCTATGCCATTATTGATCTCTTCGTTTTCATCGCAACAGCACCTCCAAGTTATTATGCTGGAAAGACATACTGCAGCTATGAAATATTATTACTGACAGAATGGCACAAGTACATGAGAATCATCCGTGCACATCTGGAGTTTGTTGTAATAGGAATCATCCTGGTATTTTGTTACATTAAAATAACAATAGCAGCAAGAGCTGCTTCAGGAGGTAATAAGAAATCCTCATCCAAAGCTCAAAAGACTTTGCTTCTGCACACAATGCAGTTGCTCCTCTGCCTAATTGAGTTGTTGTGTCCCTTTGTAGAAATAGTTGTTTTGGAGATTGACGTTCAAATTTATGGAACTGTGAAATACTTCAATTTCATTGTTTTTACATTGGCTTCCAGATGTGTAAGTCCACTTGTGTATGGCTTAAGAGATGAAAAGTTTTTTTGTAATCTTAAATATTATGCGTGTTTTAGATTCAATAAAGTAGTCTCCCTATTTTGAATACGCATAGTGGAAATCGTACAACATTAGATCTGAGCTCTTCCAAGAATCTATGTGAGAGTGGATATTGCATGATGTGTTCAAGTTATGTTCATAGAAGTTTCTATTATTTCATTATTTTCTATTAATTTATTATGATCAGTTTCCAAAATATTTTTTTACAGATGTATTTACTGAAAATATTATGCAATAACCACTCCCATATTTAAGAGTCTCTATTGCATAATATGTTCATTGAGTAAAACATTGTTGATTGATTGTAGAACATACTTTTGTATAAAAAGACCAATCCATTAAATAGCATATTAATTAAAATAAAAAAATATGTGTAAAACTGCATTTAGTAACTTAATGGCTTTAGTACATTTAACCATATTACTAAAGCAGGTCACTTTGGAAATAGTTCATAATGACTAAGTGATCTACTTGTTGGTAATACCACATCCAAAATGACATTTATTTACTGTGCATAATAATAACAAAAGATATGAAATTATGCATATTTTTCAGTTAATGAAAGTAATATCAATCAACTTTGCATTGGGTCAATTCCTAGAAATATTCTGATGGAAATTAACTGAACCAAATAATATTTACTTGTTGTTTTCGATCATTGGAAATTATTATAGAGTCAGTTTATCATTGGAGAACATTAAGATATGGAAAGTACTGCAGGAATGGCCTGTAGCATTAAAAATAAGACAGAAATTAAAAAAAGGTTAAAAAAACAATAAAAGTCAGTTCCTGTTTTAAGATGTGCTTAAATTAAGGATCCTTATTTAAATCAATGCAATGATCTTCCTCCACTTCCTTTCATTTTAAACCGATCCACAGTTGTAGCCCAGCTTTATATAATGTATCATTATATTTTCTTTACATTTGTATTTACTCCAAAGTACATTTATGTTTGTAAGCAAATCTGAAAGATTTCAACCAGCACCGACAATCCATTCAGATCTATACGTACAGTACGTGCATATGTTCGTTTCTCTTCTACAGCTGCCTGAGAAGTGAACACTGTAGCAGTTCTTGGCCCACAGGCCTCTCATCTCCTCTCTGTTCCTAGAGACACAGCAGTGTGTCAGCTGCTCCGTATCACCTCTGTTTTCTCCTGCAGTTAAGAGCAGCATTGATAAACACACACTGTTTGATCTCCTGTATTTAAACTCATTATACTGCACATAGTTTATTGGGTCAGTACGCTGTACCATTAGTATTAACAATGGCTGCTCAGGAGCTGATAAAGGCCAACTGATGTTATGTGCATTAGAGCCTAATGTCCACATAACAGTACAGAGTTGTCTTAAACAATATTAAAAATATGCTTAATAAAAGATAATTACTCCAGAACCTTAATTAAAACATTTCTGACAATGCATGACACCTGAGTACCTCTTTCTAAACTTAAAGCATAAGGTGGAACATCAATATTGTGACAGAAAGATTTATAATAATTTAACAATTCTGACACACAACATCAAGCACCCACAACCACTGATTGCTTTCACAAAGGAAGTTCATCCCTATTCATATCCCCACAATGTCTTCCAGCATGTGTCTGTCAAGTTAGTCATGAGATGAGATTCCTGACCTTTAGCATAAAAGCACCCAGACAAATCTGTCCTGGTTTCTTTCAGAAATTACTGGATTAAATCTTTAGATCAGCCATAGATCCTAGATGGGCCACATGGCTTCCTGTCATTTGTAACCTTTTGTGATATTCTCATTTTAGAATTATTATTGTCGTAAACAGAAAAATTATTGTGTGTTGTATATTAACTACAGTAGAGTAGTATTTTTGAATCTTCCATAAACTTTATATTGAATGTGTAGCTGTAGCATATTTACAGTCACCTGAGAATTAATGTTACCTCACCCTAATCCTGCTCATATAAATAATTATTTAAACTTTTTCTTCTGTTTAATTACAGAAGCAACCTGTGAATGACAAAATAATGAAGAACCACAAACTAAAGGAAATAAAACATGAATTAATAAAAAATGAGGTAGAATCTGCACTAAGAAAAGAATGAACAAGGAGCAGTGCTTGATTTTTTTTCTTAGTCTGTTTTCACCTACAGAAATGGAAGAAAATATGGACAATATATAATAAACCCCTTTTATTTTTTAATTTTACCTGGCATATTCTTCTAAAAATAAAACTTTAAGTTACACTGAATTATTTGTGATGGTTCTGGTAATTAGCTGGGAATGCTGAAGGGGTCCAGTGAGCTCATTTGCAAAGGCCAGCTTCCCAAGCTGTACGCATAGCATAGAGGAATTGTTAGTGTTCCCCTGTCACGAAACACAAAAAGGTGCTGACAATAATCTGTAATGTTTTAAAAAAACATCCATAGATTTAAACTGTCACAAACCTATGTTTTGGAGTGAGAAGAAAATGGAGAGAGGGTCACAATATAGCACACACATAATTTTATTCATCAAAACCAGAAACTTTAATGGGTTTTCTTGGTAGCTGATCTGGAAGGGTGGATATTCTCCCTTTTATAACATTCCAGGCTTGTAGATACAAGACAGTCTGTCACTTCTGGAGGCTCTGACAGACTGGCTCATGGTCAGTGGGGTCTTGCCCAGGTGTGGACTCCTTGAGGTGGGGCTGAACAGTGTCTCCTAAATGCCCAGGGACTCTGAACTGCTTCTGCCTTAGGCAGCAGTAAAACAACACTGGACCTCTGGGGCACCTGGCAAGAGGGTGCTGGAGTATTTGGACCATCTTCAGTCTCCCAGGCAGTGTACAGGGGTCATATCCTTTCTGGAGTTGGAAGGACCCATTTCAGAGGTTAAAAACAGTTTGAGCCTTCTTGCAAGAAATCCTGTCCTACAATGCAGGTCTCCAGGATTGGAGAACTATAAAATAAAATTTTGTACATCCACCTTGGTCATTTATGTAACTCCTTTGTTTTTCATTTAACATACAAATAATTGACAATAAATGAATCCATTTTCATAACACTTAGCCCGGAGGACATAAATCTACATACTTGTAGATCTGGGATGTGACACTTCTGTCTCACAGTACCCTTCTGGCTTAATAGATAGCTACTGTTTATGTGATGGGAGGCCCCTGCAGTGCTGGGGCCCTGAGTTCAATTTCAGACCTGGGGTGCTATCTGCATGGAGTTTGTATCTTCACTCCTTGTTTGTGTTTCCTCCAGGTGCTCCAATTTCTTCCCATAGTCCAAAAACATACAGGTAGATAAATTGGATTCTGGGAAAATTGGCCCTGGTTTGAGCACTTGCGTGTTGGTGTCTGTGCCTTGCACACGTGGCCTTCTTCGGCCAAAACGTTGTGTTCTCTTTCTTCTCTTTTTAGCATGAAATAAACCTATTACTTGTTCCTTTGCAGCCTACGCATGCTGATGCAGCTACCCACCTGAACTACTATACTACTGATTTACAGGCCGAATCTTCACAGCTTGTTATGTATTCATTTTACCATTCAGCATGTTACCATCAGCTCTAAAGACACACAGCATCTCCACACTCAATATTAAAGAGATGTGTTATTGAAAGTGACACTCAAAAGGGCTCTGAACGCTATTCTGATTCTCCTGCTTTCTCCAGTGTTCCCAGTCCCTTAAGGCTTCCCTAGACCGGTGCCACTGGGGCTCATTAACACACTTCTGTCAGCTGTCATTTTAGATCTTCAGCTCTTAAAACATTAATCACCTCTCCTGTCACTTTGCTGTCAAGGCACCTCTCAGGAGTGTATGCCCCTGGTGTTGCTGAAGTGATGTCAAGAAATCACATGATTCCATGCATAGTATTTTAGAGACACCTGCCAAAGAGAAGATGCTTCTTTACTTCATCACCAAGAGGAGGTGCTGGCAGGTACTGTATGCTTTGCTATGCTACTGTTTACCAACAGACACAACAAAGATATTGTCATTTGTGTCTTTAATTTACACATTAAACTTTAATTCTGTAGAACAAGTAATTTAATTACTGTAATTAATTCTGTAGAACAAGTGCAAACACAATGCACTTTTCTTAATTACAATTTTATTATTCATTTAATCTATTAGATACCATTATCAGTCTTGTTTTAATACGAGTAAAAGGACATACCTGTCCTGCTGAAGACAGTGCAATGTAGGGTAGTCTGAGACAGGCCCAGGCTTGCTGAAGCCTCACCAGGAAGAGGTCTGGATAAAAGGGCACATGTGTTTATGTGCTCATTTCTCTATCTGACATATTTGTCATTTTCTTCAGCAAATTAAGAGAGCAATGATACAGGTGAAGGCTGTGGAGGTATATGTATTGAGCTGTAGGATGTGAAGTAGGAAATAGACTGCAGACATATTTTTAAACTGGTTGTAGAACAGAACATGTAGGACAGTTTAAAACAATACACCACTCTTGCCACCATTTCCACCCGTGCTTGAAAAACGTACAACTATTTTATGTTTGTTTTAACAGGGAAATTGCCTATGGAAATGATAGAGATGTCAAATATTTCATTGGCGGAGAACAACATAGTGCACCAACAAGAAATCCGGATAGAAGTGGACTGGGTGTTCGGATTGAAAGTGGCTCTAGCTGTGTCAGCATGTTTTTTTTTCATCTATGTGAACGGCGTCATGCTGTTCACCCTGAGGAGCAAAAGCACCTTCAGAGAGTCTTCCCGCTACATCTTGTTTGCCCACATGCTCTTCAACGACTCTGTCCAGCTGCTGACCAGCGTCCTGCTGTACATCTTTGCAGTAGCATATCTGCACATAGTCAGGGCTGTGTGCGCCGTCATTGTGATTATGTCCAGTACCACCTTTTACAGCTCCCCTCTGAACCTTGCTCTCATGTCTCTTGAGCGCTACATAGCCATCTGCTTCCCTCTGAGACACAGTGAAATAGTGACTCCTAAACGGACAATATTGGCTATATGTGTGGTCTGGTTTTTTGGCTCAATAAATCAAGCAACTGACGTGATTGGTATTTTAATCACAGACCCCTCATTTTTCTTAACATCGGTATTTTGCACA